AAATGTTGAGAAGAAGGAAAATGGGAAGCAGACTAAGGTATAGTTATGATAGCAAAGTCACCAAGAAGGCTCAGTGGATTCAGACACTTGCTTCTCTGGCGGGTGTCTTGAGTCATATCCTAGAAGAAACATGGAGGAAGATGAGAAAAAACTTGTTATTAGCTCTTTTTATCAGCAGACTGTATAAGTGGTGAGTTTGCATTTTAAACCTGAGCACTATTTTGTAAACATATAACTAAGAGATACTAAGTCAGAAACGGGAAGTAGTATATCATCATTAATTAAAATTAGGAAAGAAAAGGAGATTCCCCCCGACAAAAAACAGGCAAGGAAATAGAAAACAGCAAATTAACAAACATAACTATAAGAGTATTAATACATATATAAAATTTAAATGATTTAAGAGGTTCAATTAATATGTCAACTTTGTTGAAATGTATTAAAGAAAAAATCAACACTGTTCTATTCTCCATCTACAACAATACTATTTAAAACACAAGTATGAATCAAGTTAAAATCAATATAGAACAAATATAGCACACAAATATAGCAAATAAAGAAGTAAATAGGTACCATTGCAGGTATAGACTGTAAGGGATCAAGATACATATGTGTAAAAATCACAACAAATTACATTATGCTGGAGAATTATTAATAAGTGTATTAGTTTTCACTTACCATAAATGCAACAAGTTAAAACATTGCAAGCTCATTTTTCAGAAGTTCTGGAATTAGAAGGCTAACTAAAGTGTCACTATGTCAAGTGTTGGCTGGATTCTCTTTCTTTGTGTACATTCTCTTCTAAGAGAATCCATTTGCTTTGTCTGCCACCTTTCAGAGGTCATCAAGGTTTTGGGTTTGAGGTTCCTTTCATCATCTTCAAACCATGTAACCTTTGTACAGTATTCAGGGCCTACTCAGACCCCTTCAGTTTCCCTTTTCTTCAAGTAGGGGCAAGCTATGCTTGGGGTAAAGTATTCCTAGAGCAAAGTCCATTGTTCACCATCATAATGCTGTTGGGACAATGTAGGACCTCTAAGTACTGGGACCTAGAAAGAAGGGGTGGGATCACTAGGGGTTTGCTGTTGAGGGGACACTGGGACCTAGGCCTCTTTCTCTTTCTCTTTCTTGTTCCTCGCCCATGAGCTGAGTATGAGTGTGTGGGTGCATGTGCCAATGTGTTTGTGTGTTTATGTGTGTGTTTTCCTTTTACATGTACTTCACTCTGATATACTACTGCAGATGAATAGCAATGGGGCTATCTAATCACTGACCACAGATCTGAATCTATAAATCAAAAGTAAATCCTTTTTCTTTGTGTGATGATTATCTCTGATATTTGTTATACTAACACTAAGTTTACTAACATGAGGCTTCTTGGTTTGTAGTATGATAATCCAGAAAAATATTCTAATTTCAAGGCAATTAACAAATTTAATCCCATGGTCAACTTAAAGGTTCTTTTTCATTTAACTGAATACATTTACTCATTTCACAGATGAAAAATGTATACATATTTCTTTTAGCGCCCATACCACAATAGGATAATATGGAAAAATGTCCAGTTTACACCTGGCAGAAAATTGGACAACTTGATTATATTGGACAACGTGATTCTTTGAGTGGTATTCAATTTCAAAATGACTCCAGAGGAAATAGACTACCTTTTGTATAATAAAAAAATCATTAGTAAAATTCCTGGCTCAAAAGTGTTTCCTCCTTAGAGATCTGTTTTTGTGTTCTATGTTCTCTTGGTGCAAATTTTGGTATGTCATATGTGTCTAGAAGTTTCTCCATTCTTCTTATAGTTTGCCTGTTTCTTTTTCTTTTTTTTTTGAATACAGGTTTTCAAATTACTCCTCTATGACTCAGCTTCCTCTCACTAGTATCTGTTGTCATGTTTATTTTTCATCTCTAACTTTATTAATTTGTTATCTTGTCTTTTTTTGGTTAGTTTGGCTAAAGGTTTGTTATTTTTGTTCATCACTCTGAAAAACCAAATCTTTGTTTCCTGGGTGTCACCAAAGTTTGGTGAATGTATGTTTACAATTGTTATTATTTTAACATTTATTTAATATGTATATAGTGTTCCACCTGCATGTAAGTCTGCAGACCAGAAGAGGGCACCAGATCTCATTGAAGATGATTGTGAGGCAGCATGTGGTTTCTGAGAATTGAACTCAGAAATCCTGGAAGAGCATCCAGTGCTCTTAACTGCCAAGCCATCTTTCCAGTCCTACAATTGACCTAAGTTCATGACGAATTGTTACTTTATTAATGTAGAGTAGACTTCATCGTCACTTCTGAGTAGTTTTTTTTTTTTTTTGGAAATTAATTTTATCAGCTAGCAGAAGAGCTGTGTCAGGTTATTTTCAGTTTCTGTTTGCTTCATAGATTCCACCACCTGCCCCATGTTTTGATTATGAGCTTGTGGGTATCCGTATCAGTTAGGTGTTTCTTTCACCTAATTGAAGTTTTAAAGTTAGCTTTAATTCTGTGGCCAACCTCAAGGGCTTCTTCCAATGTAACATTACATATGTTCTAGTTCCACAAGTTTAATATAGGCAGATTTCTAATAATCTGCCTGTCAGAAAAGGATATTACCAAAAAAAAAATTGTTTCCAGTTAAGATCTCTCCAGCTCCCAGCTAGGTGTGTGTGTGTGTGTGTGTGTGTGTGTGTGTGTGTGTGTTTCCTGGCTGATTCCAGCCACAAATTTCTTTGTCTGAAGGTCTGAGGAAATTGAATGTGCAAGCAATGACTTGGGCATCTGGTGAAGCCAAGCTTTTGAATTGTGTTGCTTTTGTACCAGTAAACTACAATTTTTGCCCAAGTGTGTTTGCTTCTGTGAGTTTGTGAGCAGGTGAGCACCTCTCTGGTGTTTGTTTGATCTTCTAAGTGAATGTCCACTTCATCTGCATGTGTGTAATTTGCAGATTGGAGTTGAATTATCACGGAATTTGCCAATTTACATGGATGGGCATTTTGTCAGTTCTCTCAGAATCCACCATCTCTCTGTTGTCAGCCCAAGATGTAGAGTGGCATGGAAAGCTCTCTCTCCAGGAAGGTTGTCTTCAGTTCAAGTTTTGTTTTGCTGAGTTTGCTCCTGGAGGTCTTAATTTTTCTAGATTTAAACCCTGGAAAAATGGAGGCATGGGTGTAAGGGGGTTTTCCTTCCCTACAACTTTCTTCAGGCTTCTGAATTGACATATGTTGTTTCATTATAAATGTATATAAACAGTGGGTACCAGAAAGGTTAGATTCACTCCTTTGTGCTAGGGAGACCCATGAAGGGAGAATTTACATAAGTACATTGTGGGGACTTTGAACAAAGCCTGGGGTCATTGCTACTGAGATTGATCAATTTTCTAGACTTATTCTGGGTTAAATTAATTAGGATGTGTCACATGCTACATAGATGATCATATGGTATTCCTGTGATATTTGTCCAGTGAGTAGTGGACACATTTGAAGTTCCCTGATCTGACCTTAGCTACTCTACTACCCATTAGCCTGGAATGTACGGCTGCTCATCAAGCTTCCAAGTGTTTCCTGTCTCTGACCTTGGCACAGGATGCCAGCTCTTCATGGAATTGTGCTGCTTTTACTTTTAGGTTGCATGACTGCTTGTAGTTTGAGCATGGGCCCTTTTGCCTTTGTTGTCTATGCAGAGTTAAACTCTTAGCACTGTTACCAAGACATACCTGTAGTTTTCCTCAGTAACCACACAGTTAACTCCTTGTCTGTGGGATGGGCTGGGGGTAGACAGAAGTCTTTTGTAAAGTTTTTTTTTTTCAAAATTAAATTTGTTACAATTGGCTACATTAGAAGACAGGCTTGTCTAGTGGGCAGTAGTGCCTGACCAGTGTTAGACTAGGTCATTAAATGGGACCCAAATGATAGGGTCATAAGAAGAAGTGACTAGAGAACAATTCTCTGCCAACATACGCCATAGAAAGCCATGTGAATCATGACCAGGAGGAATGCTTTCACTGAGGGTCTGGCCATACTGGCACAGGAGTCTCAGACATCAGTCATTTAGAAGTGTGAGGACAAAAATTCTATTGTTTAACCCTCTTAATCTAGGGAATACAGCAGGCCAGACTTTAAGAAACCACTCTTGCTCTGCACAATTTTTCCCATTTCCTCTGTGTGTCTCTTTGACTCTTACTAACATATGTAACCATTTATTTGTATTTTATTTCAAGGAAGATAAAACATAAGCCAGGATATGGACAATGAGATAATCATCCAATAATAGTAATACTAAGAACAGTCACGGTGAAGGTGAAGCTATTATGGGTTCTTGGAAATGTCAAGCAGAAACAAATGTTTTTTTTTTTCAAAGAAATTATTAAATGTCTTTCTGTATTGATATGGAGTAAATCGGTTATTTAGTAATCACAACATTGAAAAACCTATCAATATAAAGTAGAGAAATCTCTTCACTTATTCTGTCACAGAATTAGAGAATTTCTTTAGCATTTCTCAAGGATTCTGACTAAATAGGATTTTTAGGAATTTGCATTGTTATTAAGGCTATTGCGATCTCTATAGTTATTGTCTCTCTCTCTCTCTTTATCTAAGCATAACTATTTTGAATGTTTGCCTTACAAGTATACTAGTTTACCACATGTCTGTCTTTTCCCTGTGGAGTTCAGGAGAGGATATCAGATCCCCTAGAACAGGAGTTATAGACTACAATGTGCTACTATGTGGGAATCAAGAACAGGCCCGCTGTCAGTGCACCTGGTGTTCTTAGCCTCTGATCCATCTTTCCAGCCCCACTCCATACCCTTTTTCTCGAGTTGTTGGGATTGAACCTTAGGTCTCAGGCATGTAAGGCAAACATTATAACACTGAGCCACTGCCCCAAACCTTCCTTCTTTTTTATAGTGAAAAGACGTTTGCAGTACATCTGCATGTGTGATTGCAGGCATAAACATGACATGGAATATATGCAGAGGTCAGAGTACAACCTTGGGTGTTGGCCTTTACATTCTACTTCCTTGTGTCAGGCGTCTTATTCACTGTTGCATATGGCAGGTTAGCTGGCCCCAGAGATTCCAGGATTCTCTGTGTCTGCCTCCTATCTCACCATAGGAGTGGGTGGATTATAGATACTAAGCTGGCTTTATGTGGCCTCTGGGGAGCTGAACTCAGGTCTTCAGATTTGCAAGGCAAGTGCTTTATCTACTGAACCATCTCTCCAGTCCAGGTATGGTTTCTCCTTGGGTATGGCTATCAAGAGAAGACACAAGTATCAAATTCAAGGTTATAGTGGCCATGGTTACCAAGAGGTTACAGAAGCAGCTGGTGGCAGCTAGTGGCACTCCACCCACAATGCAAAAGTAGAGAGTAATGGATGAATGCAAATATGCAGCTACTTAACCTTTCTTTCCACAAACACAGTCAGGTAGTCACTAGCTAGGTATTGGCACCACCCACGGTGGGCAAGGTTTCTCACCACATTAACATAAGCAGAAAAATTCCCCAAATCTAAACCCAGAGGTTCATCTCCCATGTGATTCTAGATTCTGTCTACAACACTGACTATTACAATGTTAAACGTAAAAGTGGATGCTGATTTATATTAAAGTAATTAAAACAAAATTGCAATTAATTGATCTGAGGGTTTATTCAAAATGAGGAGATAGAATTTTAGCTCTTAGCTTTTTTACACATATCTGATCCCCTTCCTGCAGCTAAAGTGGATATATGACTAGCAAGTTTGGGTAAAGTCTGGATGGCCTGAATAAACCCAATATATTGTTTTACAATGTCCTTGTCCTATTTTCCCTGTCATTGATTCTGATGTTTGGCAGCTACATGATTTCAGACTATTCAGAAATCAAGTTGTTTCTTAAATAAATCTCTCTGAGGAGAGCATTAGCATCATCTGTTACCATGTCAAGGAAATGCAATTTCAGGCAAAACAACTCTTTAACATTAACATTCTTTGTAATTAAATGTCCATTAGACAAACAGAACTCCTCATAATGTCTTGAAAGTCTTTCTTTTATTGTTTCTTTCCCTGTGGTTTCGAACACCTTAGGAGATTTCATCTTTGCCTTGAGTTGATCCACTGACACCTACCAGTCCTTAGCCAGACTCTCCAAGGACACATCATCCACACCAAACACAGTCTGATAGTGGTTCATGGTTTTCTGAAGAGTCTCCACATCACTGCCCATTAAGTGGGTCAGTGAAGAGATGCTACTCAGTAGGAAACTCCCAAAGGCTTCGAGCCAAATCCTCTGATTCAGGAACTGCTGCTTCCTTTCAATGGCTGCACTTGTAATATTAGGCAAGGAGAGCATAAAATTGTGTCGTTTGTGTACAGGGAGAGCATTCATCACCTTTTCCATCAGGATTGGGAAATCATAGTCAGATAAATGTTTGTTAGAGATCAAGAAGACTGGTGGTTCTTCAATGTTACTCTCCTGAAAGGTCTTCACACAGCTGTTGCGGATCTGCTGCAGGACTTTCTCTCTGTCAAAGGTTCTTGGTTTGAATTCTTTTTCATTTTTTATGTCAGAGTCCACTTTGGTTCTCACAAAGTAGAAATCCTTCTTCATCAGGCTGACTGCTTTGGCGAGGTCTATATCGTTTTTCTTAAAGCGTGTGGCAGAAACAATGATGAAGAAGTCATACTCATTGAATTTCATTTTCTCCAGATAGTCTTTGGGTGGGAAATTTGTGCTTCCAATACCAGGCAGGTCCCAAATCACCACATTGGGAATATTGTGGTGTTTGTATGGATATCTCTTCATGGTCGTTTTCACCACACCAGTTTCAGCTGCACCTTCCTCTTCATGCCCAACCCCCCTCAGTGCATTGATGAAGCTGGATTTCCCTGCTCCAGTCTCTCCGGTTACAGCCACATTGAGTGGGGTACTGTCAATTTCTTTTAATGCATCGGAGATCGAAGAGTTTGCCCCCTGAATGTTTCCTCTTTTCAGGCTTGATTCAATTAAAGTCAGGGCTTTCTGAGGAATAATTGTGTCTACTGTCTTAAACTTGTTAAAATACTGGGTAAAGCTGGAGGCCAAATCTTTGTGACGTTTATCCTCAGGTGAAGAGGACAGCTGTCCCATGACTGTGAGCAAATAAAGGCCTGAAAGAAAGAAGGGTGAGTCAGGAGGGTGTGTATGAAATTTAAGATCTATATTTTAGCAAATTTCAAGTATATTGCTGCATACATCCTTAATGGCTGAAATTATGCATCTGATCTCCCAATGTGTTCAATTTACACAATTGGGACTTTGTGTCCTTTGATTAGCATCATCCAATGCCCCTTTCCCCACAGCTATGTCTACCTCCATCTATGAGCTTAGCTTTTCTAAATTTCACCTGTAAGGGACACAGTGGGGCCATTCTTTCTGCAGGTGGGTGAGACCATCACTGGAGCATTTAATGGTTTATTCTCCTTTGCTGTCTCTTCACAGATTCACCTCACCTTTTCAGCCTGCTCTGTGCCTCTGTGCTAGGTAGACTACATCAGCAGAGGCCCCTCACCCTGTGTCTCCTAGTGTAATTCATCTGAATCTGGTCACAGCCTTCCTGTTCCTGCTTGGGCTGATCATCTTTCTTTGTAATCTATGCTATTTGGCCTTAGTGAACTGTTTAGCACTCTGGTATTTTTAAGTGAAATACTTTCTTCTTATTCCTTCTACTTAGATCTGATAATGACTCCTCACACTTCCTGGCCTCTGGTTGTCACACAGGCTCTTATTTATCTGCTTGGCATATCCAACTTTCTGAATTTCTTCTTTGAGTGAAATCTCTTCATTTGAACATTTATTAATGAGTCCTTCATGTAACACTTTTCCAATAAAGAGTTGCATTGACAGCCACCTGTCTAACCTGTTTCTAAGATGAAATGTGACCAACCTTTGCAAAGTATAATGCATATTTGTATGGAGTGTAGTGTCTACCAGTCCAGCCACCAATGCCACACAGATATGTCCTAGGATCAATTTCCTTTGATGACAGTTAGCCTCCCTAAATAACTGAATCAATAGCCACTCAAAATAATTTACTGCTATGGATATCATTGATCCCAGTGGATGCTTGGTATACAGATGTTACAAGGAAGACATCTGCAGCATTACAAATGAACAGAGACAACAGGTGCTGGAGTCAGGAGAAAGAGTAAACATTAGGCTGAGTTAATATAGATAATAGTAACTCTGAAATTTGGGTTTGACAATCTGTATTGACACTTGGGTTATATCTAGAGGCTTCGTTTCATGGATAGCCCATGTTAAAAGAGAGAAGTAGAAGGTACTGTGTAAGCTGCTCTGAGGACAACAGGTATAGACGGACATGTGTAACTCAGTTTTACAGCAATAAGAACTCTGGGTAGTTTTTCATGTAGCATTCCATAGTTCTTAGTGTCCTTGAAACCAGGACACAGAGGCCATCAGCCAAGTGGCCTATCAACCTATTCCTTGGGTTCCTGTAAAATCTGGACACAAGAAAATATCATGAGATGGAAAAATTAATACTACTGGTATTCTTATGAAAATATTGTGATACCCTAAATGGTGTGCAGCAACCATGTATGGATGCTTAACTAGGACAAGAACATAGTGTCAATCTGTTATTGACCTAGCAACACAGGCACCTTCATGGACAGATTTCTGCATTCAACACCTGAAAACTATCATTTTCTTCATTGTCATTTAAATATTATTGTGAAAGCTGGGGATTCCAAGACGCATTTCTGTCCATCATTTTTAGAATGAGTATGCTCAAGGAATGTAATTCTAAAAAGAGTATGCCTACCCCTAAATGAATACATATGGACCCCATGAATAAAATTTCCGTACTTTCTTTTTGGGGCGTGAGTTAGAGCATCACTTTGGAGACAACTCCTGTGCTAGCTTTACCTAACATAGGTAATAAGTGTTTTCCCACTGTGTTATGTTTGGTTGTTTATTTTGACTTGAGTTAACTAAGATGTGAACTCAGTGCAGTGGGTTTTTATTGCTTGTTAAACCAAAGAAGGCTGTCTCAGGATGGGCCCCTCTCCACTGCCAGAGATAAAGCAGGGAAGGGACATACCTCAGGAACTTGGGTTTCATCTCTTGTATAGGCTGTTGGTCCTGAGAAAGCTTTGTGGCTTCCTGACACTTCAGAAGTTTTTCCCATCTGGCCATTGTTGTAGGACCCTTGAGACAGCTTTTCTAATGATGTTTCAGGAAAATGGAAGAAGTCCTGGGCCTAATTTCAAGCAATCTGAAGTGTTAGCCAGGGCAACGTCGCTTTGTAAAGCAACTTCATTTTGTTTGGACTGTGATCATTTCAGAAATGATAGTGATTAGGTTTCCATGACTAAAATCACCTCACCCCTAGATTCTTGTCCCCCCCACCCCATAGATGCTTGGCTGTAAGCACACACTATAGGCTTCTCATCAATCTAATGGCACAGAAACACCTTACTCTGAACTGGTAATAGGGGTTTCCCACTCAGCCACATTGGCCTGATCTCAGAGCCTCTGACATGCTGCTGTCTACCTATCCATCTACAGCATTCAAACCTTTATAACAAGTCTCTTACTCAAATCACAATATGCCCAGTGTGTTTTTTGTACCCCACACCTGGCATCTTTCCTAATGGTACAGAGATGGAGTTTCTCTTCCTATAGACCTGTGTAAAGGCATCACATGGGGAAAGGTGGAGCTCTGTGTTTGTTTAACTGATTGGATTATTTGCTTTTCATGTTACAGAACATCCAGATGTGAGATTTTTCAACTTAGTTTTGTAAATGCCAAAGTCAAAATTTCAACTCAGTAAAGAAAATAGTTTTCATGTCGACTGGTTTATTTTTCAACTTCATACCACACCCTGTTTAGTCATCCTGTTTAGGGTACTACATTCTGAGACATAAGTTTTCTAATTTGCTTCAACTGAAAATTCAAACAGTTTTAAGATTGAAGCTAACTTAGTGATATTGGAAAAATAACAATCAGAGCAGAAGACTTTAAAAACAACCTGACAGGATAAATTTAACAAAAAAATATATGATGGGGATGTCCTTCTATATATATGTTCATCTTATTGGTTAATGAATAAAACATTGTTTGGCCGATAGAAGCAGGAAGATAGTCGGGCCTAGGAGATAGGGAGAATTCTGGAAACGGTAGGCAGACAAGCGCCAAAAAGTGTTGCCATGTGGATACCGGTAGGATGGTGGTGCCAGGTGTTCTCCAATAATATAAGCCCATGTAGAAATATGCAGAATAGTGGGTTAATATTTAAGACAGAGGTACCAGTAATAAGCCCTAGACATTGGCCATTAGATTTATAATTAATATAGCATCTGGGAATTCTTTTGGGGCTGAAGCAACAGGAACCAGCAGGAGATTATCCATCAACACAGTTCTTTGGGTTTTCTTAAATGCATTTGATGTATGATTATATGAATGTGTATATTATGTTATGTCTACATTTATGCTTATGCACTTATACTGCCTTACAGAGGGCATTAAGCTAAATTAAAACTGTTAGATTAGCCTAAATGCTTTTTAGTTCATATAAATAAGTCTTTGACAAATATCTTAGATTTGCTGTTGAAATGTGAGTTTACCTTCAGAATTGTTAATATGTAGGTTTCCTGGGCTGTTGGCCATCGGATTAATAATTGTCTGTTAAACATTACAATGTTCTTTGATTTCCTAAAACAGATCGCGGCTGGAACTATTCTGGTTAACTCCACATAAGACAAAGTTTCTGCTCAGAGATAATTGCAGCCCTAGCATTAGGAACAAACCTGGGAACTGAACACAGCCACTGCCCAGAACGGCATCCACAGCTTTAATTTCTTAAGGTCAATAAATGGTCCCAGTTAAATCTTCACTGCCTTTGAATTTAAAAGCACACATCTGTTCTGGTTTCTCTTCCTGGGGTACAAGCTGTGTAGCCTCTAGTTTAAGGTAAGTGTGTGTTCTGTTGTCTGTCCCCTTTCAGGGTCTGCTGCTCAAAGGGTCTGTCCCCTTTCAGGGACAGCCTCCTCTTTGATAACAGCTCCTAGGCCCTGTTCTGACAAATTGGTCTGATGATGGGTATGCCCCTATGATTAAGCAATCATTTCTTAGAACTCCCACTTCATCAGGGCAACCAATACCATTTCGACCTAAAAATCATTTATTTATATCATTATGTCTTACAATATCAAGAAAGCAAGAAAGGATCCAATAAGTAGGAAAAAATGTTTAAAAGGTGATAAGTATGCTGTTATGATTTTAGAAATGTTGAAGGAAAAGGATTTTTAAATTGGTTTTGTACTAAGATAGAGGATGAATATAGAGTAAAATATGTGTATGTGTATAACTGAGTTAGCTATAGTTAAAGGTTATTAAAATTCCTGGGGTCAAGTTCACCACGCTGACACAAATCTAAAATCTAGTCTTATTTAAATCAACAAGGTTCTCTTAAGATACTAATTTGCTTTTGGTAACATTTACTAAAGTAGACTTCAATTAAAACACCATCAGAACCATAAAATAAAGGTTGTGATAAGCTACAAAAAACTGTATCTAACAGCAAGTCATGACTAGTAGATACTACATTTTCATATAATGTTGTGGAATTAGATATTTTAATACCTAATTGGTATGGACTTTTTTGGCAATATTTTCAAAGTTTTATGTTTCTTTAAGGTAACTATGTCCATTGCCATCAAAAGCCTGCCTGGTGACAGGCACAGCCCTCAGTGCCAGCATTGCTAGCAACAAAACTAAGCACCAATCAACAATGGCCACAAATCCAAAAGCCTGCTTCCCATACTCAGAAAAATGGTGACCCTACAGGGTAGTGAGGGTGCTGCTCGGCTCCTGGCCTCCTGGCTGGGCAATTCCTACTAAAATACCAGGGTCTTCTCTGAATTTTGTTACTCATCTCCCAAGATGAACAGACCTCCAGGATCTACTCTGACTCAGCCTCACGTAAACCTAATGGTGGCAGGGTGGAGTGGGGGACCCTTCAGGACTATCCATCTTGTTTGTAAGTTCAGCAGTCACTTTCCTGTGGGCTCTGCATGTCCAGTTTATACAGCAACAAACAATCCAAGCAAGATCAATTTCTTGCCCAAATAGCTAATCTTGCTATGT